TTTAGAATTAAGGATTATCTATTGAAAAATAATTACAGTCGATGAATCAGTAAGACTGAAAGACTTCTCATGCATACAGGACTAGATGGAGGAGTTAAGTGGAAGCTACTACAAGTAAAAAAAAAAAGGATTATGAAGTACTTTAAACAATCAGTTCACATTTTATTGATATTGGACCGTTCGAAAAATGTTATAATTTTAGGTATTTGTAATTTTTTCATGTAGAAAGGAAGCACCAAAAGTTTTACGTACCTGTCTATAATAGAAAGTCATCGAGCACAGATAATGATTTGTAAAAAAATATTCTAGTAGTTCTAAAATAACTTTAAAAAAAAAAAAAGATAAAATAAAATAAAATATGACGTACCATATGTACATCGGTTAAAAAGAAAATATTACACTTGCATATTTATTATTTTGGTAAAATATTTACAGACACGGTGTACAATTTTATAAAGTTTGACTTGTTTTGAATTTTAAATATATCTAAAACAGAAAAGTAAATATTAGTATTTTTTTAAAAGTTTAATTATGTTTTCAATTTTAATTACTAAGACCAGAAATTTTTTTAGAATAGATACGAACCTACCTAACGACAAAAAATTATCTTGCATAAGTGTTTTCTTTCACAACGCTCACGTGCGTTGTGATCACAAAATAAAAATAATGTATACAAAAAATGTGTCATACCTACTCATAATTAATGTTTTTAGTTTAATTTAAGCCCATCTTGACTCGTAATTTATAGAGACTTGAAATTAAAAAAAATTTATAATAAAAACATTGCGTCCTATAAACACCATGTTTTATGGTTATAATTTCCAGTTATATAGCTGGTATACCTAATTATATGACAATGATTAGCGCCGAGATAAACGGAACGTGACGAGTGTACTCAACATTTTAACAGTCGGTGTTATCTTGTTTGGTTTTAATTTTGAGTTTTACGTCTCTGTTTTCCCGACCAACTGGGTTTTAAATGTTACGGTTTTGGTAGATTGTGGTTACTACCGAATGCCTATACCAATCTCTAACGCACTGTCCAAACAAGTTTTAGATTCAGGGTGGGGGACAGTGTAGGGCTTTCTTTACTCACGAACAGTTGCCCACTCGGCGGAAGTAACCGCCAGTGACCGAGATTCGAACACGCTATTATACAGTCAATAGTAATGGTTATAACCCAGAGTAAAACCACCGTGGTAACCACTGTAGTGTGTCACGCCTGTCCAAGAATTTATTATTCAAAGTTTTTTTTTTATTTTTGATTTAACCACTTCGTTATATTTTTTACATTCCATATATTTTGCAATCGAAATGTGACAGGATCGAAAGCTTAACATAAAATAATTTATAATATCATTATGTTCGATAGGTACCTATTTGAGATTTGTAGCGTATATAATATTATGTACACTGTCTATAGTCCAAATTTATGTAAAACAAAGTAGACAAAATACGAATTTTTAGACTATTATTTCATTATGTAAGTCATAATATGACTCGTTATACTAATTTATATTAAACTTATAAATTATAATATAATTAATTAAGTTACTTGTAATTCAGTAAAAATTATTGTGTTATTTTCATTTAAATCATATGTGTATCCGATAATTTTTAATTCATATACCATATGGCTCAACAGTTTTCCCTCACTACGGTATTATACAGGGTGATCAACTGACGTAAGATACGTATTATCACGGAAAGTTTTGACTCTTATCGAAATTGGGTTTTTGAAACGTTTAAAAAAAAAACAAGCAGCTCAAAAATATTACATTTCCGTTACTTTTAGTCAGTCTTATTTTCGGAGGTTATAAGTATTAATAGGTATAAAATATAATATAGGTTTTAAGAACCTATAGGTATTAAAAGTTCTATAAATGTATGAAAGTTTAATTTAAATTTCCGTCAACCCGTTAACGAGATATTCGACTTTTAAATTTGACGTTTTATTAATAGGAAAATAATAGTGAAAAACTATTTAAACGCTCCAGTGGTGGATTCACGGGGAGTGTACTCCCAGACGGTGATATAATTTCAATAAAATGTCGTCAAAAAAAAAAAAGGCATCTGTTAACAGAGGCGCCTTTTAAATACATACGATTTTTCAAAACCCCTCCCAGAAAAATGTTGAAAATCCGCTACTGAACGTTGCATTTTTCGTTACCACACGAATATTGTATCACTATTTTATCCTGCCCAAACTTAAAAATCGAATGTCTCGTCAACGGATCGAGTTGACGGAAATTAAAAATTTCAATACTAAATTTTAATTTAACTAATACTCCATTTATTCATGGATTTTTTTTTAATGTGGTGGCCATTTGAAAATCAAAACTAGGTAGTCACTTCATGCCTAAAAACAATGATGACGAAAAATAACTTTAATGTATGTAACATTTTAGAGCTGCTGGTTTCTTAAATATTCCGAAATGTCGAAAAAATTAAAACTTTCCGAGCGTAATGAGTGCCTTAAATTATGTTGATCACTCTGTATATCCGCTTGGTACATATTTTATAATAAACTATAATAATAAAAATAACAATGACGAAAAGACAAATAATACAATGTGGAATGAAATAGTGATTCTTTAATAATAATTATTATATAAGTTGATTTAGCCTTTATCTTAAATACACATATTTTTCCCATTTTATTACATTATTAAATACTGATTGTCAATTAAAACACTCGTCTACTTTCTTTGGATATTCGTAGTTGTTCACAGAACACAATATCGAATAGGACTATATTTTGTCATTGTCGGTATTTTTAAAAATTAAATGATGTTGTTATATTATAAAATATTTTACACAAGAAAAAAAGGGAAATAATACAGAGTATTCAAACGGAGAAAATATTCAACTAATAAATAAAAAAAGAATAATAGTTCGTTAAATTTGTTGGTTGACGAAAACTGCACAATGTGTCTGCTGCATAATACCTACTGCATTATAACTGTGTAGCCTATATTGTAACCACCTGTTTATATAACCTCGTTGGCCCTCATACATATTAATAATATCGTAACGGTATAGGCATAATCGACCTCAAAGCTGCAGACATATAGGGGTGAACGGAGGGAGAATTCAAAAAGCAAAGAGAAAAATTAAGAAGTACGTAACTTGTCCGATATAATTTTTATCCTATAGTGATAATAAATATTATTTGGCTAATATATATGTATGTATATCACATGCGTGTTGAGGGGGGAGGAGGGGGGGGGTAAGAGTTAAATTCCCTTCTCCATTGGGAGAAAATTTAATTAAAGCTTAAAAATTCAACAACTATGAGTAGATATTTATTTAGTTATTTTATATTGAGACAAGGAATTATTTTTGGAATTAAGGTTGGCATTTTCGGATTTTAAATTTTCACTGTTGAGTTAGATATAAAAAGAAATAGAACCTATAATTTATCATGAACCATAGCTACATCCCCTCGAGAATTATAATCACTACTGTACTAATACAATATCATTATATTTTATACACAACGAGCGAATTTAAGATATATCCAGACACACGTAAGTGAATACCTAATTTATTATAATTTATAAACTATTACCACGCCGTTTTTCGCGCCGTTAAACTAGGTTAAAAAAACGCATGAAAATAAACTGTATTGCGGGCCGCGGCGCCGAACCGCAAGATTGCGCCAAAATAAACGTAACGCGAGTGAGTGCCACGAGTTACGGGTCGGCGAAAGGCTAAATTCTTCCGTCTCTTTTCATTAAGCCCTATTAAATATTTGTACAACCCATCAATATCGTCCTATGGTAATATAATTTCGTTTAAGCGAGTTAATTGATTACAATTTATTAGCCGCTTTGTGCCATTCGTTGACAGATTGTTATATTCTGATGAACAGTTGCTTAGTAATGGGACTTTTTATTTCCAGAGCGAAGGCGTATAAACAAAAATGTTTTCATTAGGTTCGCGATATGAAATCAAAGTCATCGCAGCACTATAATAATAATTTCACGGTAGATAACTCTACCGCGAATAAAAGTAATTGATACCTTCTATAGAAATTAAAACGGCTATTACTTAGATACTGTTTATCGGTGCACGTATGATTCGTTAAAACTTTTAAGAATAATATCTATTATTAAGTGGCTATTCTTAAAATAATTGTTAACAAAAATAAAAAAAATCATTTTTGTCTACATAATGTGTCCCCTTTACACGAAACCCGATTGAAAAAAAAAATTTAAATATTAATATAATTATTTACAATGATAAAACAAGGTAAAAGTTGTTACCAGTAGTTAAAGTTGAACAAATTTCGAGGGGGGGGGGCTATATTCACCAAACATTGAGGGGTGTTCACAAAAATTACGGACTAAGAAAGAATGAACTGGCAACAAATCAATTGACAACCGCACAACCATACAACCATCCAAGAGTACAAGATGTTGAGCGCTATCTATACTCTATCAGTTTATCTCAATTAAGAACGGTAGTCAGCGACACCCCGAAAATCGGTATGTCTTGTAAATTTTTCTTTTTTCAAATATCCATAGATGGTGTTTATTGATGTTATGCCAATCACGGGGAAACATTTAATTTTCAATGATTAGTTTTAGATTATTAGATATTTCGTTACCTCTCCATTATTTCTTAGCCCGTGCTGAGAACTAACTAACTAAACCAACTACCGTAAACCGGGGTAACTTTGTACCATTTTTCAACGTTTTTCAACTTAAGGGCTAATTTTAATTAGCTTGCACTTAACAAAATAAAAATAAAAAAAAATTCACATAAATGTATAGGTACAGACAAACGAACTTGATGTTATGGGCATCACATAATTCTAGCACACATTTATTTATGTGGGACGCCAAGTTGTCACACGTTAATGCGCAAGATTCACCGCCCTCGACTTATTTCCAAAAAGTTGTTTCAAACCAATTTTGAAACATGTTCGAGTCGAACCAACCACTTTTGCTACGGTTGTACCTCGTGTTCGGTGTACCCTCTTCTGTTCACGTGGTTCATAACGATTTTGCCTTATAGACAACGTAAGCAGGAATTAAATACCTCTCTGCATTTTCACAAAACATTAGAGAAATAGCGCTCTTGCTGTAGTTACAAATTTGTTCTACATATTTTGACCCTTTTTTACTAATAACATTTTTAGTTCCGGGCTCGTCTGTTAGATTTGTTTCATCGTGGTTATAAATACGTGAGGTTACCAGCCAAACTTTTTTCAAGACGGTCCATGTAATTGTTGATATCTTTGGCTGTGATGTATGCGCGACTTTTTTTTTATATTTGCACTTACTTTCACAGATAATTCGGGGTGTCTTTGAGAAACCGTACACCCAGTCATCCCCTGGAGTATTATGAGTAAATTGCGATATTCGAACTTCTTTACAATCTAAATAACGCGTTATGGAGATTTTTAAGTCCGCGGGGATTAAGGGGAACCCGAAACCAGCAAATTTCGTGTAATGCTGTGCGAAGCTAGTTTCCATGTCCACACTAAAAACTGTAGGACTCCGACAATGTTTTCATTGTGTTATACTAAAGTTTTCTACCAGAAATATTACTTCAGTCGAAAAATGACAAGACGTCGATTTTGTTCCTATTAATATTTCGATACCGACAGAGCAAGCCGTTATTCGATATCCGAAGTAATTTTCCAAATAATTGGGAAAAACCAAAAAAAAAAAATTGATTAATATTTACGGCAATGAAGAGTCCCTGTTTAATCATTTTAATATGTTCAATTTGAAATATTACTCCAATCGAAAAATGACACTAGTGATCAATTTTTTTTTTATTTTTAATTAATGGAGTGGAGCGAATTTCGGTTACATATGTTTTGAAAGGCCGTAATATTTACAATTATCGTCAAAATTTTACTTTAACTCATTAAAAGGAAAAAAAAAATAGTATCTACCTACATTAAACTAATTTTTTTTTTGAACTCCAAGTACGACTTATCATGAACCTCCTATCACAATTGTCAAGTATTTTTGTTAATTCTAACAATTTATCGTAGTACCTAACAAATAAAATTTACCTAAAAAATTAGCAAAATTAAAATATCTATAAAAGCTCAATAATTGCTCAAATTTTTAGAAAGTTTGATCAAACCTAGAAAAAGTAAACGTAAGTTTTCTGTAAACATGTTAAGTCTTTACGAATATTTTAAACTGAATCACATAAAAAATATTAAATTTTCGTAAATTTTTCTGTTATATCTACGTTTTTAAGTTAAGTTAAGTTAAGATACAGTAGGAAATATAATGTATGTCTGTAAGCAATGATAAACTTTTGATAGCGAAAAACCGATTCTGAGCAGAGTTCAGTTAATAGTGTTTCTCTGTCAACAATATATAAGTATGCCATATTATGGTAAACAACATATGCGTTAAACATTTTCTTTAATAATATTTGATTAATTTTGCACTTATTTTCCCATCCTTCCGTTATATTGAAAAAACTTCTGAGAAAATCAAAAAAAAACTATCTTCTTAAAGTATCTCCCCAGTTAAATTAACTTTCAGAAAATGCGCTACACTTGTAAATCGGAGCAATATTTCCGGTCTAAAAGATGTTCACAGATAAAAAAAAAAATAATAATAAACATCATTGTAAAACCATAAGCTTCTTCGCTCCACTCAGAATCTAAAAAGTAAAAGATATAATAATATTATGATATGCTAATTACGGCGACATGTTAAAAATAATATTACGTATGTGTCCATTATCCAATAATGTGAACACTGCGATTTGGTGGCCATTTTTCTTATAATTGTTAATTTTCAACATACTTCCCGACTACAAACGTTATAAATCACAATACTTTTGACTAACAATAAATCTCAGGGCCGTTTACAAGACGATGGGGGTTTCATCGCTGTCCATACTCCCTTTGGGTGATACCTACGTGAGTTATTCTCCAAAATTCTTTTCTATTTACTCTTAAATATTGCATACACATAATAATAGGTTAGTGGATTACTATTCTTAAATTTTACCACGGATAATATTTGTGAAGTTTTGAAATCAACATTATTAGTTATTGTTGCAACACTTACTTAATTTATTAATGATACACTCACCAATAATCCTACATTGCCATTGTAGCTAAATGATTTGTTCAAGCTCCTTTGAGAACAAAACTATATAAAATGTAGGTAATAAATATTGTTCTATTGATATGACATTATGTACATATCATTGGCCCACATTCAGTTTAAAACACTGGTGTGCTAAAATAATTTACGATAGGGTGTCACGGGATATTATATTTATTTTATTTAGCTCAAAATCTAAGCAGTAAGTACCCCCTGGTACCCAGGATGTGCGCCAATGGTATAAATATATATATATGTATACATTTATCTTGATAATTCATTTAACAGGTAAAAATAGAAACAGGGATTATAATTACAAAATGAACACATACTGCAGTGTTACCAGATTTGAAAATTTTACTCTTTTCGGGGAACCTTAGCAAGTAAAGTACACGATTTTAGTTTTTTAAGGAATTCCGAGGATTTTCGAAAAATAACATTTATGTTTACTGAATTCTGTTTCTTTTATTATTATTATTTCTCGTCAAACTTACCGTTCTAACACGATAACAGATTTTGTAGCAGATTGTTACAGAATTTCAACTTGTATGCCATATTTTGATTTATTTATCACGGATCTTCAAGATCGCTTTCTTAAATATCGTAATATTTCATCCAACTTTTAGTGTATTTTTCCTATTGAAACGAAATCTTAAGACAAAGTCGCTTGTATAAAGTTATTTGAAAGCTACAATTCAGTTTTACAAGACGATTGCCCAGAAATTTAGGTAAGTGAGGTAGACACTTGATGACGACGAGTAGCTAGAGAAAAACATTTTGGAAGTCATTTTTCCATGATGGGTTTTCTGAAAGTTTACCGTAATCCGGCGTAACTTTGGCCCCGGGAGGTAACTTTGGCCCACCGAAATTTTAAATACTTCTGCATGCTGTGATAAGACATGTGACAATTATCAAAATGTTGTGGTGGTTTTTGACAACACTGGTAACCGAATATAACAGTTTTTGTCACTTATCGTTACTACGGTATCACTTGTCTTGATATCAAAAAAAATTTTGTTTTTACACACATTTTTCTAACGATAAAAATCCCTCTTCCTAATTTATATTTCGCTCCGTAAATATTTGCCGTTTTTACCTGTAATTTTCTAAATGATCTTCCCAATGCACTAATTAGAGAAAATTATCATTCAGAAAAGGTGCTGTAGTCTATGCTCCAGAGTGAGTTTGCTGGTAGAAGAGTTGTTCACAGACAGAAAAAAAAAAAATTATATCCCTCTCTACGCTCCTAATCTAAAACAGTTCGCGTAATCGTAATACAGAAAAGTGGAAATCTGGAAATGAATGTTGTATTTATTTTGTCAATTTATTAGTATTAGTAGATAACGCGTATTTATAGATTGTTAGAACGACGCGATGTGCGATAACAGTAAGCAACGCGGCGCGGGTTGCGAGGCTATCTACGCACGGGTCAATGGTACAGCAATACGGAACAATCACAAGCGTGATTATTCTGCTTGAAACGCAGTTTCAGGGACGTACGCAGAAAAAAGTTTTGGGAGGTGTTTTTGAAAATCAGTTATTGGAAATCAGAACAATAATATTTAATATTGAAATGGAACAAGTAAATGACCATGAAAAAACCAAACGGTTTCGGGGGGTGTTTGAATACTCAAAACACCTCCCTACGTACGTGCCAGCACAGTTTACAGGAAAAACTCACGCCTCGCAGATTTATCTGATATCAATAATTTTTTTTTTTTTTTTTTTTTTTTTTTAAAAAGGGGGGGTTTTTTT